TTTTCCTAAAAAAAAAAACCAACACTTAATCCCTATGATCAATACCTTAATCTTATCAGGGAAAAGGGTCCAGCAAAGATTTTAACTGGATATGAGGCATTTTCTTTCTAAATCTGGTCATCTTCCTTAATGTCTTTTCTTCTTGATCTTTTACACACTTTCCTAAGTGAAAGGTGTTAGGCCTAAGAGAAAAAGGGAAGAGGTTATTAGTAAAGGATATTATTTCATAAGAAATTTGATTAAGTACTGATAAATTTTGTTTCCTTCAGGTAATTCTGTAAAGTACTTTATTCTAGAGAAATATTTATTTCTCAATATTTTCAGCTGAACTAAAATGGACTCTTTAATATGCTTCTATAGCCCATATGTTTAGTGTATTTCTCTTATTCCCCCCAGGGTGGGGCAATCAGTACTGCTGAGATGGGGTGTATGGGATGTTCAGGGAGGACTAGCTTGCCAAGCCCTTTTTAGGGCTTCTCATCCACCTTTGGTGTCTACCTCCCACTGAACTCTCACCTGTGGCTCCAAGAAGCTGCAGCATGTCCAGTAGCCACACCCTAGTAAACCATTTCAGCAGATGGACTAAACCAGGTTGAGGGTAATCGATGGGCCTCAAATTAGTTGGTGAGTTAGTGGGGTGTCTACCTCAAACCCGTGAAGATTTTCCCTGGTGGAATGGGAGAATGAGAACAATTTGTTCCAATAGCCATGAAGGCTGCTGAAGCAAGTGCTGTGGAGTGCTTAGAGCTTGATTAGATGTTGAAGACATTGAGGTCATCCACTGCATCTCAGGCCATCAACAGTTGTCTTGACTCTTGTCCAGCCACTGGACTTCGATGACTCTGGAAGAGAGAGTGAGGCTGATGACTTTGTGCAACTCTGCCTCGTTTAAATCCAATTCATGTGCAGGTCAAGATATCACCTGTGATGTCATTGGTCCTCTTTGAAAATGAAGAGTCAACCCAGAGCTGAATAGAAAATTTGACTTTCAAATACAAGACTCAAGTGGAACATGAAGAGGTAAACAGGAAAGAGAAATCGTAAGAGACTTATTAAGGCTGAACTGTTTACATTCCTGCATGGAAAGATGATATTTATAACTCATGAGACCTTTGTCAGTATTAGGGTAGTGGGAGGGGAGAAATTATATGTATGTATAGATAGATAGATAGATAAATAGATAGATAGATAGATAGATAGATAGATAGATAGATAGATAGATAGATAGATAGATAGATAGAGGGCACAGGGTGAGTTGAAGATGAAGGGGTGATATCTGGAGAGTAAAATTAAGGGGTGAGAGGATTATACTAGGAGAAAGAGAAAGGGAGAAGTGGAATGGGGTACATTATCTCGCACAAAATAGACAAGAAAAGGTTCTAATAGTGGAGGGGAAACAGGGGAAGGTGAGAGGAAATGAGGGAATCTTATTCTCATAGGATTTGGCTTAAGGAGGGAATAACATACACACTCAATTGGGTATGGAAATCTGTCTTACCCTACAGGAAAATAGGGGAAGAAGGGGGCAAGAGGGCAGGGGGATGATAGAGAGAAGGGCAGATTGGGAAAGGGGTAATCAGAAGGAAGTACTTCTGAGGAGGGACAGGGTCAAAAGAAAGAATAGAATAAATGGGGGAGCAGGATAGGATTAAGGGAAATAGAGTTAGTTTTTCACAACATGTCTACTAAGGAAGTGCTTTGCATAACTGCACATGTATGGCCTATATTGACTTGCTTGCCTTTTCAATGAGGGTAGGTGGGGTGGGAGGAAGGGTAAAAATTTGGAACTCAAAGTTTTAAAAACACATGTTTAAAAAAATGTTTCCTCATGCAACTGGGAAATAAGAAATACAGGAAATGAGGTACAGAAATCTATCCTGCTCTACAGGAAAATAAAAGGGGAAGGGGATAAGAGAAGGGAGGGGGGAGAGATAGAAGGGAGGGAAGACTAGGGGAAGGGGTATTCAGAATGCATGCCATCTTGGGGTGGGGGGGAGGGGCAAGATGGGGTGAAAATTTGGAATTCAAAATCTTGTGGAAGTAAATGTTGAAAACTAAAAATAAATAAATTTATATTAAAGAATAACCAAAAAAAATGGTCAACAACAATAACTGTTGAAACAGAGCTAGGCCAGGGTATCATGCATCATGGGATAATAGATTTAGAGTTGGAAGGGATCTTAGAGAGGTCATCTACTCTAACACCTGCACTTTATATATGAAGAAACTAAAAGCCAGAGAGGTTAAGCTATTTGCCCAAGGTTACACAGGTAGTGACAGAGCAGAGATTCAGACCCAGGTCCTTTGACTTCAGACCTAGTGCTCATTCCACTCTACTACAATGCCTCAGATCATAAGGTGAAGCAGGCTGGGAGATAACCATTCACTTAAATAGAGCAGAGAGCCATGCTTACTAGGACTTTTCCTTACATTCCTATTTTGTTCAAGATCTAGGCTTTTTGGGAAGAGGACAGGGATAGAGGAGAGACACTGAACTTTCAATTTGGTAAATGAATGGATCAAATGACATAACATATAAAGCCTTTTGTAAACCTTAAATGCTAGCTATTATTGCTATTATTATCATTATCACATGTAGGAACATTGACAATGTGCAGAAAAGACTTTTTGTGTTGTATGAAAATAATATTTTTAGGGGGCAGCTAGGTGGCGCAGTGGATAAAGCACTGGCCCTGAAGTCAGGAGGACCTGAGTTCAAATCCGACCTCAGACCAAACACTTGACAGACACTAGCTGTGTGGCCTTGGGCAAGTCACTTAACCCCAACTGCTTAAAAATAATAATAATATTTTTATCCAGAAAATATTTTTTAAAATTTTTGTTAAAGTGATAAGGGGCAGTAAAAGAGTTAAAATTAAAATCATATTATTAAAGTGACAAAGTATAACAAAAGAATTAGAAAGTCATCCCCCAAGATGCTGCATAGAAATAGGAGTGAGGGACCTATTGATTCTGATATCCCACTGTTAACTATGAGCAAAAACTTCTCTAGGCATTATAAAAAAGCCCTGAGGCATCTAACTCACTGTAATCCTATCTCTGATCAGGCATTCCTGCCATGTTCCAGCTGGTCTGATGATCTTCTGATGTTGAAAAAGCATGAGGATTTATAGGCCTTGACTATTAGTCCTCATCCATGTCACCAGTCTGCTGTTCTTAAGACTTGAGACAAGGTCACCCCTTTTGGCAGCTGATCACAGTTAAGGAACAGTCAGGCTTATGAGGTTTGCAAGACACAGCAAAACCCTGGAAAAGGCTTCTGTTGTAGAAGGTCACTACAAACCTTGGACGATTTGGAGGAAGCAGCTGAGCAACTTTATAATGGGTCACATACACTATTCCTGTTCTGGGAATGGGGCAAGCACACCCGAGTCCAAGTCAAAGGACACTTGGGCATCTGCTCTGCAAGGAAGGTCACACTCCACTATAAAACAGGAGTAGCTTTCAGCTGCGCACTGACGAATCTTGAAAATCAACTTGTTCCCATTGAAATTGTTGTTCTAAAAAAGGGTACCATCTGAATGACGTTTTCTGTTTCTTCTGGAAAAGCAGCCACTCTATAAGGAGGGCTGAGGGAATAACTGAAAAATTGTTATGTTTTATGTGTGGAAATAAATTAATTTAAATGTAAATAGTTACTAAGGGCAGCCAGGTGGGGCAGTAGATAGAGCACTGGGCTTGAAATCAGGAAGACTCATCCTCAAGAGTTGAAATCCAGCTTCAGACCCTGTACTAGTTGTGTGACCCTGGGCAAGTCACTTAACCCTGTTTGCCTCAGTTCTTCATCTGTAAAATGAGCTGGAGAAGGAAATGGCAAACCACTCCAGTGTCTTTGCCAAGAAAACCCCAAAAGGGGTCACAAAGAATCAGACAAGATTGAAATGATTGAACAACAACAAAAGTTACTAAGTGAGTTTTGCTGGTTGTATTGATGTTCAGTGTTAAGCTTTTCATAAAACATTTTAAAAAGAGGAAAATAAAAGTAACCAGCCAAGTACGAAACTACAGAAACTTTTTGGGGGGCTTTTTTGGTCTTTTTCCAGTCATGACTCATTGTACAGGACTTCCAATCTTTTTATAACATTAAGCATGCAATTTGTTAATGTTGTTTGTGCCTGGAATTCAATTAAAAGTCAGACAATAGCAAAACAAAAAAAAAGGAAAGCCAAAAGCACCTGATCTGAAGTCTAGTCTAGGAGTTTATTTTGTTTCATTAGATTAACCCTTTTTTTAATTACTCAGAGAGGAGGCTTGAAGAAATTGTCTTAGCAGTACAGTGTCAGGAGGAGGGGAAGGAGGTGGAAGGGAGGAGAAAGAAGAAAGGAGGGAGGAAAGGAGAGTGAACCTGCTTTGAAGATGAGAAGGGCATGGTTCTCAGGGCTAAAAGTATTGCACAGCTTTATCACTGAAAGAAAAAAAAATCTGATCCTTTTTTGAAAGTTTGGGGCCAGGGCAAGAAAAGTTAGTAAATGCCATTTAGTAGAGTGCATCTAGTAGCTCTTTTCCTGAACCTGTTAAAAACCTAATCTGACAATTCACTTTGCCGGTATACTTAAGGGAAATTACAGTGGATCAAATAAGAGATATGCGGTTGGGGACAATTGAGACCTGTGATTTTATATGTTAACAACTCCACAAATTTGTATCAGCCAGTCACCTGTAATTTATAGTCTTAGAGAGTTGCCTGAAGCATTAAGAGGTTAAGTGAATCTACCCATAGTTGCACACTTAGTGTATGTCCCAGGTGTTCTTCCTGACCACTGTGATAAAGAAAGCAGCTTTTTGGCTTTTGGAATCCGAAGACCAGAGTTCAAATTCTGATCATCAGTTATTACTGTGTCCATGGGCAAGTCATTTAATGTCCCTGGGCCTCAGCTTCCTCATCTATAAAATGAAGGGGCTCGACTAGATGGATTTTAAGGTCTCTTCCAGCTCTAAATCTCGAATTCTAACTGTGATTGATAACCCTATCGTCCTAGGCCCAGGATTCTATCCACTTCATCCTCATATGAATCCTTTAAATACAGATGACTAAATACTAGTGAACTTTGAAGAGTATGGGCAAGACAGACATAAGGGACAGGATTTTCCCAGGTAAGTTGCATGCAAGTAACTTCTTTTATTTTTCAGTTTTAAATAGATTTAAATTACTTTTTACAGATTGATTTGCTAGACTGCTGTGTTCATCCTAAAAGCTCCATTTTCATTGGGGTAAACAAAGGGTAACCATATCTTCTTTTTGTCACTTTAATCTTCCCTGACTTCAGACTAGGTATAACCTTTCCTGGAAGGTATGAATAGTCTTTTCTCCAGCCTTTTACCCACCTCTTCATCTTACTTGTTTTTTTTCCCCCTCTGCCTTTCTTCTTTCAGGTCAAAATGGCGTATTTATTCAAATGAAAGATTTTATACCCTGGCATGATAAGGATTAGTGTGTACAGGGCACCACTGCGATTGTCCCTCACTGCTAGATCTTATGCTGACCCAGGAAGCCTATGAGAAATTGTATAATGTACAGGAAACATTTCTTAACTCAACAAACGTTTATTAAGCACAAGGAACTATGCAATGGGGATGCAAAGATTAAAAAGCAATCTAGTACCTGTCCTCCAGAATATTCTATTCTACATTAACACACAGTATTCATTAATCACAATTCTGTTGTGAAGAATAAACAATTATAATTGCCATCATATGAAATTATTATTAATATTATGTCTGGATGCTTAGAAATATAAAGCTTACCTTGACCTATACAGTCTTCTTGATTGATTCATTTATGAAATTCATGCATGTGAAAGTTAAGCAATTAACTTTTTTTAGACAAGATCCAGTGGTTGGATCAGTAATTAAAACAAATAATTAGTATTAATAATAGATGTATAAATAAGATTCCTAATTAACTGATGTATTCATTATCTTTCCTTGCTGAAGATTATCTGATTTATCCCACATATATTCATTTATAACTAAATTCCACAAAAAACCCCCAAAACAACCCAACAACTATTTGCAAGGCCTAAAGAGTTAATTCTGATGGGATTGCGCCTATCTAACCAAGCTAAAATAGCTTTCAGAGTAGGCAGCAACATCCTTACTTGGCTGATAATGACAAGCTCTCAGGCACTTCACAGCAACATCTGTTTTATTCCTGAATCATCTTCTGCTTTGGGCGACATTCAAAATCACAGCACTCATAGATTCACTTTTGCATTTCAAGAGATGAAAAGATTTGCAAAGCAAGTACAGAACAGGTCAGCTGCAAAACTGACAAGTCTATAAGTTAGTAACTCAAAATGGCTCACATGCCTCTATTTCTATTTAAACTTCCTGTTTACTTAGTTTCTTAGGATTCTGTGGGCACTGTGTGTTCTTAGGGAATACTTGGCTTCTTTCAAATATCAGAAATACCTAAAGATTTGTAGAACTTAAGAGCTGGTAGCAATCTCATAGGTCATTTGGAATGTAGCATAGTAAGTAGAGTGAGGGAGTCAGGAAAATCTGGGTTCAAATCCTGTCTCAGACACTTACAAGCTGTATGCCCCTAGAAAATTCACTTAACCTTCTGCCTCAGCTTTCTCATCTGTAAAATGAGGGGGATTTGGCTTATTGACACCTAAAATCTTTTCAGCTCTAAACCTTTAATCTGGTCTAATCTGGGGCAGCTAATTGTCACAGTGAACCTGGAGTTTATATCAAAAGTTCAGATACTTCCTACCTGTGTGACCCTGGGCAAGTCACTTAACCCTGTTTGCCTCAGTTTCCTCATCTGTATAAATTGGAGAAGGATATGGCAAACCACTCCAGTATCTTTGCCAAGAAAACCCCAAATGGGGTCAAGAAAAGTCAGACATGACTGAAACAACTAAAATAAAATCTCCTTTTTCAAAATGTTGGTTAAGGTCAAGAGATACAAAAAACTTGTCCAAGGTTAGACAGTGTAACAGCCAAACCATCACTAAATCCCACTTCTCCTGACTCAACCTGGAGTTCTTTCTGTTGTCTCTCATGATAACATTTTGAACATAAGCAGATCCCTCCTTCCAAGAAGCTTATTTTCATTCTTTCTTCTATCACTACTGGAAAGATTACAGTGAATTCCTAAATAATGACTACAAGACATTTGTCTTGAAGTAACTCCCAAAGAGTGACTAAAAGTATGAGGTCGTGGGGAGCATGCTAGACTACTTGTCTAGAGACTTACTCTTTAGAAGTGGGAGCTCTATTAATAACCTGGCTTGAGTCTTGACTTTCTGTGCCGTATTTTCTTCATCTGTAAAGTAGGATGATAATATATGTCCTATATACTTTGGAGTAGTATCCATAGGATCATAGATGCATAGCAGGAAATAACCCCAGAGATCATATAGTCCAGACCCTTCATTTTACAGCTGAGGAAACTGAGGTGCAGAGGGGTAAAGAGTCTTGCCCCAAATCACATGGATAATTAACAACATGGGGCAGCTAGTAGCACAGTGGGAAGAGTGCTGGGCCTGAAGTTAGGAAGACTTATCTTCCTAAGTTCATATCTGACCTCAGACACTTACTAGCTGCGTGACCCTGGGCAAGTCATTTAACTCTGTTTACCTTAGTTCCTCATCTGTAAAATAATCTGGAGAAGGAAAAGGCAAACTGCTTCAGTATCTTTGCCAGGAAAATCCCAAATGGGGTCACAAAGAATCAGACATGACTGAAAAAGACTGAACAACTACAAAAATTAACAGCACAACTTGTCAGGATCAAATGATAGCATGTGTATGAAAGTGCTTTTAAGACATTATGAGGTAGAGCAAAAAAGGGCACTGACCTTGGAACTCAAAGAGATAGGTGCAATTCCGTCAGAATTACCTCTTTAAATCCTGGTATTTTCTAGCTGTACAGTGGTGAGTAACTTAGTTAACCTCTCTGAACCTTGATTTCCTCATCCATAAAATAAGAATAATAAAATTTGCTCTGTCTATCTTAGAGCGTTATTGGAAAGAAGGTATTTTATAAATTGTAAAGCACTACAGGCATAGTAGATAAAGAGTTGGATTTAGAGTCAAGAATATATAAATTTGAATTTTGCCTCAGAGATTAACTAGCTATGTAATCCTGACAAAGTCACTTAACCACTCAATGCCTCACTTCCTTTTCTATAAAATGAGGGGATTGGATGTGGCCTCAGAGGTCTCTTCCAACTCTAAATCTCTGATCCTATTATTTTATTATTGTATTTCAGTTATCAAGGGCAACTTTTCGATCCAGCGTCAAAACTAAAATGAGAAGTAAAATTTCTTGCCTCTAGTGCTGAAATTATTAGAATCTATGTGACCTTAGACAAGTCATTTAAGCTCTCTAGGGCCTCAGTTTTCTTGACTACAAAATGATGGGGTTGAACCACATGACCTTTAAGGGCCTTTCCAAGTCTAAATTTCTATTGCTATGAATTTAGGTGACATCCATTACTTAAATTTGTATATTATTTGAAAAGAGTCTATGTTCTTTAATTCCATTTTGTAAATAAGTGAAATATTTAGCTACCCACACACATTTTTCTCTGGATCCATCAAGTCTGGACAACTCTGGCAAATCAAACTGGAGTTTTAAAGGGTGGTCAGTTTTCTTCTCCTCTTTGGAAAAGTACACAGAACATAAGACTATCTTTGGGATAGCCCAATCCTCTAGTTATCCCTTACCAACTGGGACCCCTCATGCATTTAGTATTCTTTTCTATCTATGGTCCTTTCATTAGGTTATTATCATTTACCAAGGCAAACCCATTTTTCTGTAGTTTAAAATAACATTACTCTCCTACATTTTTCTAGACATTGTTCATTCTTGAAAAATTTCTTGATTACATTGCTTTCATAAAGCCTTCCCCAAATAGCAATCATAAGAGCCTGTCTTCTTGCCAGTCATTTCTTCAACAAATGTTTAAACACTTGCTAAATGATTTCCTTTCTCAGAATTCCCAATTCCCCCTTTCTAGGATCTCAAAGAAGTGTTTAAGCAAATTATGTGCTAAAATAACCAGAATCCAACTGGAGAGACTTGGTTGAAATCTGGCCCTGGAGCCCACATGTTCTGAGCCCATGCCATCTCTCTAAGTTGTTTTTCATTGAGCCTTTTGCCTCTCTGTTACAGAATGAAAGGTCAGGACTTTGTTGCAACTAAAAAGAAGAACTATCTGGTTATTCCATTATCAGATAGCAAGGCCTTTGGATGGGCAAGTGTGGCACTTAACACTCTCTGAAGGTAAAGAAAGACCTTGGGAAAAAACTGACGTGAAGAGGAGTCAGCATCTCAATCTTTCTCTCCCTTTAGCAACATGAAAAGAGTCTGAAGCCACACCTTCCTTGAAGCTGGAAGCCAGAAGACCAGGATATCTTCTCTCCCAAGCTCTAGCCAACTTCACCTCTTATTGCAGACATGGAGCAATGAATAATGGATGTGGGCTTTGACGTGCAGGTTTATCTTGTGTTTTTTAATAGTATCACTTTAGATCTTTTACAAGTTTTGGCTTACATGCTTCTCTACCCCATCTTGTCAACTTACAAAATTGAAGGAATATTCAATGATCATGTCTGGGATGTGCCACTATAATAAAAATTATAATATTCCCCAAATTAATTTACTGTTTTAATGTTATACCAATTACTTTACAGAATTTCATAAAATGATGAAATTCATTTGGAAAAATAAAAAAAAATTCTAGAATATCTCTTCTTACACTTTCCTGCCTGCCACGTACTCTTTGATTCAGTGACAGTGGCGTCCAGGCTGTCCCATGAAGAGGACACTACCTCTTGGCTCAGGTCATTCTCTTAGACTGTTTCCTCTCTCTGGAATGCTCTCTTTCCTCTGCTCCTACTACTGACCTCCCTGGCTTCCTTCAAGTCCCAACTAAAATCCTGCCTTCTACTGGAATCTTTTCCTAACCTCTCTTAATTTTAGTGCCTTCCCTTTGTTAATTATGTTTCATTTTCTCTCTGTGTAGCTCATTTTGTATATATTTGTTTGCTTGTTGTCTCCCCCATTAGACTGTAAATTCCTTGAGGACAGGGACTATCTTTTGCCTCTTTTTGTATATGCAGCTCTTAGTACAGTGCCTAGCACATAGTGGACACTTAATAATTATGTACAAATACATACATATACATATAGGCATATACACACACATATACACACATATGTTTACTAAAAGCCAGTACCCAATAGGTAAGTGGTCAAAGGAGATGAATAAACAGTTCTCAAAAGAATTACAAACTATTAGGGGGCAGCTAGGTGGCTCAGTGAATAGAGTGACCTGAGTTCAAATCCAGCTTCAGATACTTAACACTTAGACCCTGGGCAAGTCACTTAACCCTGCTTGCCTAAAAAAAAAAAAAAAAGAATTACAAACCATTAAAAACATATGAAAGAATGCTCTAGGTCACTAATAATAAGGGAAATGCACATCAAAATAACCTTTAAGTTTCACCTTACATTCTGTAAATTGGCAAAAAGATGACAGAAGATCAGACAAGTCAATATTGGAGGGAGTTGTGGGAAAATAGGCACACTAGTACATTGTTAGTAGAGCAGTCTAACTATTCTGAAAATCAATTTAGAGTTGTGCAAATAAAATTACCAAAATGTCCATAACCTTTAATTCAAAGATTCCATTATCTTAGAGTTAAAGGTTATGGACATTTATACACCAAGGTCATTAATAAGAAGAAAGACCCTGTATGCTCTCAAATATTTATAGCAGCACTTTTTGTTACAGCAAAGAATTGGAAGTAAAGTAGGTGTCATTTGATTGGGAAATGGCTAAACAAATTGTGGTATATGCATGTAATGGAATATTACTGTGCTGTAAGAAATGATGCATGTGATAAATACAGAGAAGCATGGAAAGACTTACACAAACTGATGCAGAGTGAGATAAGCAGGGCCAAGAAAACAACATACATAACTACAATCCTGTAAATGGAAAGAACTGCCCTCAACAGGCAAAAGTAAATGTTGCACAATTATAGAGAATAATCATGGTTCTAAAGAAAAAATATCTGAAGATGGCCCCATTGCACCCCTTTGCAGAGGTTAGAAGCCTACAAGTGTAGTACATTGCATATATTTTCAGACTTTTTCTTTTTTTTTTAAATTTTATTTTTTATTTTTTATTTTTCCCATATGCTTCTGAGTTGAAAATTTTTCTTCCTTTTCCTCCCCCCCCCACCCTCCCCAAGATAGCACACAATCTGATATAGGCTTTACATTTACATACCCATTAAACATATTTTCACATCAGTGAAGTTGTAAGTACAAATTAAAACCAATAGGAGGAACCATCAGAAAGATGAAACAAAACTCAACAGAAGGTAAAAATAAGTGATAGCAATTCGACTTCCATAGTTCTTTCTTTGGATGTGGACAGCATTTTCCATCCCGAGGCCTCTGGAGATGTCTTAGATCCTTGTGATGCTGAGAAGAGCTCAGTTTAACAATCTTAGTCATTGCATAACGTGGCTGGTATTCTCTACAATGTTTCTCTTGGTTCTGCTCACTTCACTCAGCATCAGACCATACAAGTCTTTCCAGGTTTTTCTGAAGTCAGCCTGTTCATCCTTTCTTATAGCACAATAGTATTCCATTACATTCATATACCACAACTTGCTCAGCCATTCCCCAATTGATGGGCATCCTCTCAATTTCCAATTCTTTGCCACCACAAAAAGAGCTGCTATGAATATTTTTGTACATGTGGGTCCTTTTCCCATTTGTTTGATCTCTTTGGGCTATAGCCCTAGAAGTGCTATTGCTGGATCAAAGGGTATGTACATTTTTATAGCCCTTTGGGCACAGTTCCAAATTGTTCTCCAAAATGGTTGGATCATTTCACAACTCCACCAACAATGTATTAGTGTTCCAATTTTCCCACATCCTCTCCAACATTTATCATTTTCCTGTTTTGTCATGTTGGCCAATCTGATAGGTGTGATGTGGTACCTCAGAGTTGTTTTGATTTGCATTTCTCTAATCAATAATAATTTAGAGCATTTTTTCATGTGACTATAGATGGCTTTAATTTCTTCATCTGAGAACTGTCTGTTCATATCCTTTGACCATTTATCAATTGGGGAATGGCTTGTGTTCTTATAAATTTGTCTTAATTCTCTATATATTTTAGAAATGAGGCCTTTATCAGAGAGACTGGTTGTAAAAATTCTTCCCCAATTTTCTACCTTCCTTCTAATCTTAGTTGCATTGCTTTGTTTGTGCAAAAACTTTTCAATTTAATGTAATCAAAATTATCCATTTTGCTTTTCATAATGTTCTCTATCTCCTGTTTGGTCATGAATTCTTCTGTTCTCCATAGATCTGATAGGTAAACTATTCCTTGTTCTCCCAGTTTACTTATGGTATCAGCCTTTATATCTAAGTCATGAACCCATTTTGACTTTATTTTGGTATGTGGTATGAGATTTGGGTCTATGCCTAGTTTCTACCATACTCTTTTCCAGTTTTCCCACCAGTTTTTTTCAAAGAGTGGGTTCTTATCCCAGAAGCTGGGGCAGACTTTTTCAATGTATTGATCAGTTATGCTGATTTTTTTTATTTTTCTTTTTTGATTTCAAGAAATATTATTTGTTATAAAGGATGGATCTCTGGGAGGGAGAGAATGAGGAAGGGAGATAATGAGGTAAAGTTATGGTGATATAAAAAAAGACCAAGTTTTTTTTTTTTAATGAATAGGATGGTTTATTTTCTCTTCTAAAGAGAAACCTAAAAAGAAATGAAAAGACTAAGTGATTGAATATCACCTTTAATATTATCAACTTGAGATGCTCAAACAATTGTAGGGCACAAGATAGTTAAAAGCAAACAGTCTAATGGAAAAAGCGTGGCAATTTTTCAAGCCTGAATGGTTTTGTAAAAACCTTTTCCCATTCACTACTAAGTTGGTCAGATTCAAGCATGAGTAATTATTAAAGCAACTTAAGAGTCTCCAGTATTTTCTCTACCTGTGGGAGTTATAACAAGACCTGAGCTAGAACAGGAAATGTATCATAAATCCCTTTTTTATGACTCTGTAAATCAGTGGTTTTATGGGTTTAGTAATAGTCATGTAGAAGCATTTTAACTTTTTAGGAGGAAACATAAGAAAATTAAATTGTAAGTAATACAAACATCAATAAAAAAGGGCCCTGCTGAATAACAACATGTTTTGAGAATTATTTATAGCACTGTGGCTGCTTCTTAGTAATAACTAGAGTCTGCTCTGTCGGTAACATGTAACCTGACAAATATTATGGAAGTGAATGGATTCAGTCATTTAATATAGAAGAGTCAAAAGGTTGTGTTTACTGATATTCCTATAGGTAAAACAGAACTTGACACGTTGGTTCTTATGAGTTTTGTTTTACACTTTGAAGAAAAAAGCTGTAGAGGAGATTTGAAAAACTGGAAAAGGAAATAGAAAAATAGTTTTAAAAAACATTGGTTATTATACAAATAGCGTTTTCCTCCCAATTTGTCTCATTTTCTTTTCATTAAGACTGGGATTTTAGTTAACATCTTCCTATTAATTACTATCTTTTACCTAGCCAGAAGAATATTCCTGTCTCCTCTTAGCTCTGTCTCTCTCTGTCTCTGTCCCATTCTTTTTCTGTTTGTCTGTCTGTCTCTGTCTCTCACTAGTTTCCTGATAGAGTTCCCCTGTCCTGAAACAGCTTTCTCTACCCCTCCTCCCATCTCTTCCCTCCTGCCCCTCCCCTTTCTTTGTGCCTGGGCTTCCCTAGCAGCAACCTTGATGAACCTTTCACCTTCCCCTTACCACCCCTTCACCCCCCGCCCGCACCTCATTGGCCTCACGTTCTCTGATGCAGCTTCCTGCCCTGGGGCCAATTAAAAAGCCCAAGACTGGTGGACTTTGGGCCTCTTAGAGTTGTTGGGGGTCTAACACCATTCGAGTTAATGTACCGTAATGACTACCTAATGACTGATGAACAGACGCATTTCCAGGAGACCAGGGGGCCACATCCAGAGAAGCTAACTGCCACGATATTCTTGTTGCATATCCTTTCTCTGTAAGGGTAAAGTAAACCTCCTCCAATGTTCAAATGTTCAGTGACTCATGGCTGCCACATTTTGTCCCAATATTAAATTCCAGCTTAAGAGGGTGCTGGCTTGAGAACAGAGCCTACAACAGACTTTCCCAGGGTCACACATCCTGCATGTATTAGAAGCAAAATTTGAAGCCAGGTCTTCCTGAACTAAAGCCAATTCTGTATTCATGATGCCAACAATCCTTTTCTTATTATCTCTTATAGAATACAAACTTGAAAAAAAAATACACTGGTCTGCAAAACAAATGTAAACAAACGTTAAGTAATGAAGGGGAAGAAATAAGTGTATTCAATGTCCTTTCTGCCCATGTATATAGAAACTTCTATTCCATGTACTCCAACTCTTAAGTCTAACTCTTTAAAATGGAATAGATCTCAAGTTTGTGAAACCAACTTTTTGTAGGTCCTGGGGATGGGTGGGATATGTGTGTGTTTATGTATATGTAAATAATCACATATATAGCTTTACAGATATGCTGATATATGTACTATATATTTAAGATACAT